TATGCTGTAAAACATGCATTGAATTTTGGAAAACTTATTCATTTACTGTCATCATCTTTTCATTCTGGAATAAAATAGATTACTGGTGGTATGTGACAATCTGTCTTGTATTTTAGCTCATGGGGATTCTCCAGTTTCATCTGAGTCTTCTTTTTACTGATTTCAGCAGCTGCAAGTACTTCTAAAGAAGACAAGAGGAAGGAAAAGCAGTAAAAGGATATGAGATGAAAGAAGCGAGATTGGGTATGAGAAAGAATAGAGAAAGAGGAGGAGAAGAAAGGGGATATTGAGGTTCATGGGAGAAATCAGAGTGAAACAGAATGTGTTTCACCTCTCTGATTCTTTTTCTTCTTATATCATCTTCTCTAAGTATGACCTTAAAAACAGTGTCCAAATGTCACCTGTCTGCTTTTGTCCCATTCCCCTTTAAAGGAGCTACAGATGCTCAGAAGTCCTCAACTCTGGCCACAGATCACATCCGGATATTTTTCTTTGAAGTTGTCAGAGAGTAGTTCTGGAACAGCAGTGAAGGTGACCATGTGTATCCTGGTCACACTCCCCACAAGGCATCATGTAATTCGTTCCCTGTCGTGCTTTGACACTTGTCTACTGGCTTATGCACTAGAAAAGGCTTTCTGCAGGTGCTACAGGACTTTGCTCAGGAGCAAATATTTATGCAGGAGCAATAAATAGCATGTGTTTTCAGCATGAGTAGCAGCAGGAGTGCATTTAACTCCATGTGTAACAGAAGTGAATGTGTTTCAAGTGCATATCATATTTACAGCCCTCTAAATTCCTGTGCAAAATGGCAAGGTTCTGCTGCAATATCATTACCCCATATAGTCCTCCCTGTTAGCACCAACACAGCGAGAAGCTGAGCAAAGGATCTGTTTCCCTTCATGCTACCAATATTTTCCAAGATAACTTGCTGTCCAAAGCTGTGACAGTATCCCATTCCCTTTTAGTCCAACAAGGATGAGAATGGAGAAATTAAACAGGGATCCCTAAAGAGGAACACCAGCTGAGAAATGTATTCTTAGTACGTTTACAAACCACATGAATAATTTGTATGGTGAAATATATGTACTATCATGTTTTGATAGGCCTTTAGACTAACATGCCCACTGGGTGTTCCTCTTCATGTCACAGGAAGGTATTTTTTCAGGAATGCTCATCAATAGATTAAAACTGATTGTGGCAAATAATTTGGCATAGCTTCTGTTCAGGAAATGGTTTCCTCCAACAGTATCTAAATTAGTTCCAGCTCCGGCAAGTACCTAACAAACAGAGCTCCATGTTGTAGCTCTGTGTTGATACTGTTTATTAACTATTGGAGTGGAGCAGACAAGGCTCCAGGGTCTTATCCAATGCCCACAGAAATAAGTGAAAAGACTCCAGAAGACTTTTTAGTCACTAGAATCCTGTGTTTTGTGTTTCAGAGTTGGGAAATCTCTGCCAGGAACTTCATCATCAACTGAAATGCTGGAAGAAAAGCAAAGAGCAAACTTCTGGACAGGCAGAAAGAAGGAAAGGAGAATGAAAACATCCAATAAATTCTTAGCTGAGACAAAATGACTCCAATCAGCTTTTGTAGATGAAGATTGAAAAGATAAGTAACCTCGGATATTTTTAAGAGAGAACCAAGTGTCTAAAAGCCTCAAGGCAAAATTAAAATGAGCATCCTAGGGTCTTAAAATCACTTACTCTACACACATCCTACACACATTCAGTCTTCTGTAAATTAACCACACTCACCTTGATTTCTTGTGGTGGTCATCAGTCCTTCAAGTTCTACTATTTTTAACAGCTTCATTTTTACAGTTTTTAATGACAATGGATGGTAATTAAGAAGTTGCTAAAAACTTAATTTTACTAATGATTTGTTTATATGTTTGTGTTCAATATCAGGCAGCAATGATCCCTCTACCTAGATTATCTAGTATTTTCTATGCTGAAAGAATTTGTGATAATTTTTTCATTTGATAGTTGTTGCTGTAAGCTCTGATGACTAAATGTCTGGAGCTGCCCTTTGAAATTGGTCAGGGATAAAATTCCAAATCTGTAAAAGTGCTTTTTTTCTTTGTCCTGTAAAATTCTGATAGGATTTTCTGGTCTCAGCTGCTGACATTCACCACTCCCCTTCTTCTTTTTCCTTTCCTCTGGAAAGATTGCTGAAACTATAACTGATGGGGGAACTGTGCTCACATTCCCAAGGCAAATGCATTGGTCACACTAGCGTGGCTGGTCTGTAGAACAGCTTCAATGGAAGAGCATGAGAGAAGGTGGCAGTTCGTTCTCCCCTGTGGTGGCTCTCCATCACTTGCAAAGACAGAAATGCAGACTCTCCATGGCCCTAAGGGTAAATATAGAATGGCTCCAACATCCAATTTAGATACATGTTTTGCAGGATGGGAACATTAGAACTTTACCTGCATAGTTATGTGAAGAAAATTCTATTCAGCCCATAGCATAAACACGGTATGTGATACAAGAGCTGGGTAAAGCTAATTGCATAAATGTTTTCCTTAAGACAACTCAGCTCTGGGTGTAGGTCCATAACACCCTTAGCATGCACAAAGACTATAGGGGTATCTCCCGGCAATGACTCCTTCTCTCCCCTGGGCACCCCTGGTATCTTTCTGTGCTCTTTCTTTTCCTACAGTATTCTTTATGTATTGATCATGCTTTTCACTTTTTAGAGCTCTGATTATTCTGCTTCCTTTCCTGTGGATTATCTCCAAGTGTCTGCACAAAAAAAGTGGCTTAATATTTTAAGTTTTCAGCACAACAAATACGTTAGTTGATATCTCTTAGAGAAAGCACTGTCATCTAAACAGTTTGATGATGGTTGAAAACCACCAGAGAATTATTAAGAAAACTATTAAAAATCTTTGAACATAGGTCTTTTTAAAAGTAGCACAGGATCAGTATAGATTCAGACAAAAAAGTAGTAAGTTTAACCGCAACCACCTTTTCTCTGCCTGAAGTTGTTCAAGGCACAGTTTGGAGCCCCTGGAACGGTCAGCAGTCACTTGACTTTTCCTCAAAATCATAGATTCTTCTTTACTACAATTTCTTCCTTTTCTTATACTATAGAGAAAGTCCTTTTTTGTCTTCCCAAACTTTATGTGCCTGCATCTCCTAAAACTGGCATTAACACCTGTGTGATTCCATAATTACTTTTTAACAATTTGAGGACTTTCCATTCCCCAAATCCCAGACTCTTGAGAAATTGTAGGAAATATTTTTTTATTCAGCCTCATTTTTTTTCCAGGCCAGAGCTAGCCACAATTGCTTAATAAGCCTTAATGATTGTCTCATTCAGAAAACATTGCCTTGCCCCTTTGAGGAAGTACCGTCAGCTTGTGGGAAAAAATGTGATTTTCACAATATAACGGGAGAGAAGTCAACCCAATCCTACAGCTAAAATGCTGTCCAAAGAAAGATCTCAAATAGTCACAGACATTTTCAATTTGATAAGATCAGCGACTCAGAGTAAAATGTAAATGATTCAGAACTTTAAAATTCAGAGTTTTGAAGGTATGAAAACCAAGTTAAGGCTTTACCTAACAACTGAGTGGGAGAAGAGTTACAGCAGGTAGGTATTTTAAATCATCAAAACTTGCAATGTTTTGTATACTCCTCAACTCATTTTTATGAATGGCACTATGAACTCACATCAGGCTCCAGAGTTTATTTTTTTGTCTGCTTGCTGTAACTTAGCTACCTCAATACTTTTTTTTTACTTTGACTTGTATAGGATTTTGATAACTTTTAGAAAACTGTAATTCTTTGGGGAATACTATTACTCTTCATTTTGGCACTGGTCTTCCCACAATTCTGAATTAACTCTACTTGGCTTAAGGAAATGCCTATATTTAAAACTGAGTAAACTTCAAACATACTGTACACCAAATCAGTGTTTTCTTGTCATACCAGGGAATATCTGTATGTCATGAGCAGACTACTGAATCTGACCACATACAGAATTATTCCTTATAAGAAAAATTCTTTGATATAGAATATGAAGGCAGGATAAACTGTGAAATAGCTCTGGAAATCAGCAGCATTCCACTTCCTGAATATTTTTAACATTCAGATAAAAATGACTTTTGGTAATCTGCACTGAGTTGCAAGATGCTCACTCCTGGCATGTTTGCAGTGTCTACTCAAGGGATTTCAACCTGGTGGACATTTTGAACAGAACTTGAATATTAACCATTAGTAACCACAAACTCTGCTTCTCTCCATTCCATGCTCCATCCCTGACTTCTTCCTGCCAGACAAAGAGTTGCTTCTTCACAGGAACTTTCCAACAATGTACCGGTTAATGAATTAATTGTCAGGTTCTATGGTATATTAGCCTGGAAAAGCTCAACATCCAGAACTATATGTATGTGCCACCCATATTGCAACATGGTGTCCTCTGGTTAAGTACATGGAAAGTAGCTGTAATTTTTGTAAACTAGGAACTCTTGCCAATTTTTCTCCTGATTAGTATAATCCTTTTTTCATAATCTCTTATAATAATGTTTTATACTTCATTTGCCTTACATAATTAGACCTTGAACAATCTCACAGCCTTGTTCTTTTGTTTGTTAAAGTTCATTCTTCTAAGACATCAACAAACACTATATTGGTAAATTGTATTTAAAATGTTTCCAGAATGACGTCGGTATACCTTGTGTGCGTGTATCTAGTTGGAAAGAAACACAAATTTTAGAGGTCTCTTGTTCCTGTTAGTGCTATCATTATCGGTGAGGATCTTTAAGGTTTGGCCTTAAAGCAGCTCCTGGGATAAACTTGTTTTCGTTAAACTTAACTATTGAAGTTTGCCATTTAATGGAAAAATTATCAATTTCTTTTCTTAAACTTCTGGGTTTCTTTTTTTTTTTTTTTCTCTACGAGGCTGTTAGAACAGCTGGGAAAGCTGCCAAGAAACTTGCTAAAGACAGTAAGAGCAGGAATTAAATCACAGAAAAACATGAAAAACCTGTAACTGCGTCTGAACAGTGAAATAATTAGTCGACCAGGAACCAGTACCTAATAGTAAGTTTTATAGCAGTGTGTTAAAGTTCCTGATATGCAACATTATGTTTCTGCAGATAAATGCAAATGACAACAAGTATAATGTTGAACGTTACAAAGTCTATGTCACTGTAAAATTCCTTGTTAAAGAAAGACAGTCTTGGAACAGTCTCTGTTGACTTCACATTATTACAGTTCTTTCTGCAAGTTTTTCAGGTGATGTCCATTAGACCAAGGATTTATACCTCTGTCATCCTCTCAGTGGGCTCCCAGCTGCTCTTATGATCACCTAAAAAGTACAGAAACAGCAGGTTAATGGAAATTTTCAGGATTTTCCAATAATAAATTTGATGAGCTATGGCCATAAAAATGTGGAGTGTTCTCAGTAGTCTCAGTCATGAGCTGTAAGCTGTTTACTACAGTTTCATGTAATTTCTGCCTTTCTGTACTCCTGCATGCTGCCTTCATTCCACACAAGAGAACACTGGGGATATGATAAAAATATAACATGGCAGATGTACTTGTTTCCTGCTTTAACAGATTTACTGTTTCTTATATAGAATTCAGACCCTTGTCTGTATTATTAGTTCAGATAACTCAGGTGGTAATAAAATTAACATCTAAACCTAGAATTATCTGTAGATCAACAGATGGATTGGTTGATCTTGTGAGTGTCCCAAAGCTTTCCAAAACTGCAATTAATAGAAAAAGTTCTATGGATTTCAATTAAATTGGATGAGATACACATGGGACCAAACTAATATAAACTAACTATTTTCTTCACTGGAAACTGCTAGCTAGAATTCAAAGGGTTAGGGATGCCATTCTCACTTTACCCTTGACTTAACTGGGCAACAATTTCACCTTTGATGTTTTAGAAGTACCATTAATTCTGCTCCTTAACTGTGTACCTACTAAACTGCAGATAACTTTGCCATTTGTGCCAAGTTTGAAGTTCTTAAAGTTACTAATACATTTGAAACAGGAAAAAGAGTGCTCTGCCAGCTGAGACAGCTGCAGGGAGCTCCAGAGGACTCATACCGAGGTGCCCTGCGTAGCAGAAGGATGCTGATGATAATGTGCTACAATGCTAACTTGAACTTCATGTCTCTAGTACCGTTGAGGGCAGGGAGGGGGGAAGAAGTTTTTCTCCCTGCCTTCCTATCCTCCAAACTCTGCCTCCACTCTGCAGTTAATTAGAATAGTTTCACCATTTCTATCCAGAAGAAATAAACGTTGTCAGGCCACAGTGAACGTCCAGTGAACTGTGCAACTCCACTGTCCTCAGTGAAATCTGTGCAAAAAATGTGAATGGTATCTGTAAAATCTTTTGACTTTTGACAGTTTTGAGTGGGAGGTTGCTCAGCAGTCCCATAGATGCTGATGTTACTGTTGATGCTCCACTTTTCATTCTGTGCTGGTACTCTTGTGTTAGCAGACAGCCAAAGGACCATCTGATTTTGCCTGCTTACCGTGTTCCTCCACAAACATCAAGAAGGACAGCAGAAACCTTCTGTTTCCAAGAGCGCACATTCCCTTTGATACAATATCCTTCTTACCCCGTACTCACGTATTTGAGGAGAGGCAGCAGGCAGCTCTCCGAGTAGGAGGACAAGCAGTACTCTTCCACACCCGAACTCATCAACAGGGGCGAGGGCCGAGGATTTTGCGGGGCTCTTTGTACCGGTTCCACCCCGTGTTCATTGCCCGGGCCTTCGGCAGGGCAAAGCGAGACCGAAGCCGCCACAGCCCCCTGCGATTGGCCCGGACACCCCCGGGCTCGAACCGGGCACCCTCCCGCCCCGCTCCGACCAAGCCCCGCGCGGGTCGTGTGGCCGCCGGGTACCGAGCCCCGTTCTCAGGGCCCGCTCCTCGGCCCGGCGCACCAGTTCCCCTTCCCCGTCCGCTCTGCCCCGCGGAGCCGGCCGGCAGCTCCCGCCCCGCTGCACCGCCCCACGCCTCCGGAGCGGGGAGGCAGAGCCGCCACCGCCCCGCCCGCCGCCGCTGCGCGCCGGGGCAGGCGCCGAGCAGGTGGCCGCAGGCAGCGGGCAACGCCGCGGCATGTGAGCGGCCCCTGGCTCGCCGGTCGGCCGCGCTCCCTCGGGAAGGCAGCACCGGCCCCACTGCCTTGTGCTGCCCACCCCTTTCCGAGCCGCCCGCGGAGGCAGGGTGCCCGCGGCTGCTGCCCGGCGGCGGCCAGGGGCTGAGAGCCGCTCCCCGCCGGGGGGCGGCCGTGGTGGAGGGCGGAGAGGAGGAAGAAGAGGAGGAGGAAGGGTGCGCGAGGCCGGAGGGACGAGGGAGCCCCCCCGGCTGCGCAGGATGAAAGTCACGGTGTGCTTCGGGAGGACGCGGGTGGTCGTGCCCTGCGGGGATGGGAACATGAAAGTTTTCAGCCTGATCCAGCAAGCGGTGACCCGGTACAAGAAGGCGATCGCTAAGGTGAGGGGCGCGGGGAGAGGCGCCCACAATCAATATGGCGCTTCCCGGAGCGGGGAGGGAAGCTGGGGGGAAAGTTCGGGCTGCCCCGCCAGGGCGATGGGAGCGGGACCGGGATCGGGATCGGGATCGGGATCGGGACCGGGGTCAGGGCGGGGGCTGGGGTTGGCAGCGGCGGAACCCTCCTTGAGCGCGGCGCCGCCGAAGACAGTCGCCGGGGGGCGGCCCCTCCGCGGCGGCCAGCGCGGCCCCAGCGTAGCTCCCCGCGGCCGCGGGCGCCTGGCGGGCCTTGGCCCTTTGTTCGCCCGTGCCTAGCGGCGAGGCGGCGGCCGCCAGGGGTGTCAGCGCTGGGGCCGCTCGAGCCCGGCTGAGAAAGCGGAGTGGAGGCCGGTGGTGCCGGGTCTGCCCCGGGGCGGGCGGTGGGGCCGAGTCGCCGCGGAGGGCTGGAAATCAAGCCCCAGGCTTCCTGGCCCTCCAGGCCTGGCGGGGAGGGCGGTGGGAGGGGACCCCGCCGCAGGGGCGTCCTGCGGCGCACCGCGGGCGGGCCCCCCCGCCCCGGACGGGGGTCTGCGGAGGCCCCGCAGCAGCGCTGCCGCCCGCCAGCCTCCGCGCCTGCCCCGCTCCCGGGGGGCGGCCGGCGGGGAGCTCCGCGTGTGCTTCGAGCATCCGCGGTGCCGGGAGCGCCGGCCCGGCCCGGCCCGCGGCGAGGCTGATCCCGAGTGCCGCCTGCGCCGGCCTCTCGCAGTCCCATGTTGAAATCCCTGGCTGTGGGTGTGCAGGCAGTTGCACACTTGGTCTTCCTTCCCTCCGTCCACAGGCTACTTGTTGTTTTTTTTTTCTTTGCGCTTTTTATTATTTCCACCCCCTTGTACTTTCTTCTTGTTGCAGACTTTTAAATCAACTGGTTGGTTGGGACCGTCGCAGGCTGCAAACTTAAGCAGCGCCCTTCCCTTTTGCTGTCCCTGATCCATCCAAGCAGTTGAGTGTACTTTTTCCCCTTAGTCCTTCTGACGTGCTTTACACTTCTGAACCTGAAAGTTTTGCTGTGGTAGTGCTGGGTGCCAGGCTCTCTGAAACAGATGGAATGCTGTGAACAGTGTATTGATTGGTTTGAAATGACTCCCCAGCAAAGTTTTAAGATCGGTTTTCTCAGAAAGGATTCCAGTTGCTGGGGAGGAGGAAAAGTAACCGAGGTTCCTGTCACCTCCCCACTTGATTCCTACAGAGCATGCTTTTGGAGAGGAAAAACACAGTCTCACTGTATTTTTATTACTCCTTTTGCAACACAGTTGGGATTCTGGTTGGAAGAAGAGTAAAACGATTCACTAGGATATGGTGGTGGCTGTATACTGGCTGTTATTTATATAGGTAGTTAATGCACATGGCAATCTGCCTGCACGCAGGAGATGGTGGCCAAAAGTGCCTTTCCGGTTAAGGTAAACCAATGAGCAGTAAAGTGTGTCCCTTGGGGAAGCACGGAATACCTCATTGGGCCCTTCATTTGGGAAGTGTTTGCCAAATTTGCTCATCAGCGTTACAACATTAAAGAAATTAATTATTTTGATGTGTTGTGTTCCACAACTGTGGCCAGTGTAACTCGTGCCAGTGGACTGCGTCCTGCTTTCCAGCTGTTAAATTGCATTGAGGGATGGCAGTTACATTCTGCAGTTTAACACTTGGAAGTGATTGCAGTTCTGAGCAAAGGAGAAACACGGGTCAGTTACCAGGTAAAAGTTGGTGATTGCAAATAGTGTGGGTTTGTTTAGGAAAGTGGCCCACCTGTGGAAACACAAAAAAATTACAATGTAACTCTTCTTTGAATAGCTGTTATATTTACTGAAAAGAGAATTTTCCCAGGTTCAGACAGACTTCGTCTAGCCCCTGGTCCCTAGAGCTCCCAGTCCTGGGTTTAAAATGACACAGTGGTTTTCTTTATTAGTATTTATATGGTGGTTATGCTATATGCCGCTGGTATGGACTTGAGGTAGTTGCAATTACTGAGATTGTTTCTATTATATGGAAGTACTGTGGTTGAAAACACAGTAGCACAGAGTCCATAGGCTTTCTGTGAGTGATTTATACAATCACTGTCATGTGCTACTTCTAACTTAAATTCACTGAAGGTTTTGTGTGGTTATGTTCCAGTAGTAAGAAGGTGCATCCTCAATGTCTTGTGAGTAAATTTGTAGGTCTCTTTGCTGAGTTTGCTGTAGAGTAGCACAGTAATTTTACTGTTTCAGTGACAGAATTTCATAGATAACTGTGTTTTTATAGCAGTTAGGAGGTTTCTTTCTGCGCTGGTGTAACAGATCTTCACTTCAGAAACAGGCAAGAGAAGGGACAAAGTAATTCTTACACCGAGAGGATGAGAGTATGTGTGTGCACATACAAATGTATGATCTGGCAGCTGGTATCAAGCTGACACTGAAATCTACTTCACCACCGCTGTGCTGTTGTGGAAAAAAGCATATCTGGTGGAAGATTATTCAAAATATTTGAGTTAAGTTTATGGGAAACCAGCATTTCTCATCCTGCAAAAATGTGTGTGTCTGCTGAATGCAGGAGTTCCTTCAGGAGAACTACTCGAAGCCTCTGAGAATTGAGTTGTCAGCCCTTCCCAGATTACCTCCTGCTTTGTCATGGTTTCTAGGTTGTGATTAGCAATAAGTGATCTGCACGCTGAGCACTTGCTATTGCGCTACCTGTGCAACTGTGATGAGGCACCCTGGCATTGTGCTTGCAGAGTGCCAGGAGTGAGTAACTTCAAAACCTGACCTTGGTTTTCTGGCTTGGTATAATTTAGGTTTAAGAGATACAGCATTAATGGAAAAAATGTTTATGGAAAATAATCCTCACAGCAGTAAGGTTTTCCTTTCCATAAAATCTTAAGGCTTGAAAAGCATATAGATAACACACCTAGTTATTTCAGTTAGTTCAGGATGCAGTTGTCTTTGATTAGGATTCATAAATCTCAAAAAATTCATTATGGATTGACACTGCTGTCAATACTGAATCATTAGGTGTGGAATAAATTCTTAGTATGACAGGCTGTGCTTGAAGGTTGGTCTGTGTAGTGTGTATAGGAAATCTTTTTGTTCCTTTGCTTTTACTCCAAAAGAAGCTTTGTGTCTGAAACATGATCCATTTCTTCTGCAAGCTGTGTTTGTGGGGAATGAACAAGCAAATGAGATGCTGGGAAAGTCCACCTTGTCCAGGGAACCTGGAGTCAGCAAAAATTGATCGTGCTTATTGAAACCTTGTTTGTGTGGTGGCACACTAATGATACTCTGCTTGTGCGGCTGGGATGATGCAGCCTCTGGTGCAATTTCTGAGTGAGTGTAAAGTGAGTACAGTTTGGGCAGGAGGCAACTGGCCTGGGAAATTGTGTGTTTTCCAAACCCTGTTGCTTAGGGGCTGTGCAGGTTTTGTGTTGATCTCATTCTGCTTATAGCTTCTTAGCAATTAATTTAATGATAACAAAATGGTTGACTATAACCTAGTGTTAAAATGTGGAAAACTGTTATAAAAAATGATGTCTCAAGTAGTCTTTAATAAAAAAATAATTGTGCGTTCTGTAGCTTTGGTTTGATCTGCTTGTAGCTAGAGACATTTATGGCTGATGATTTTCGACTAACACCATAATCTTTGTGTGCTTTATGTTTATTGGGATATTGTGTTTCACCTTTTATCTTTTCTTACAAGTATAAATAAGCATATATAAGTAATGGGTAGGGGTGTGTGTATACATATGTATAACATTTTTAGAGTTACTATGTTGTCCTTTTCTGATGTAAATAAGCATGGTAAACAAGATTATGAAAAACAGGAAATTATTGATTTACAGGAGTTGTTCAGTCTGATGTTCAGTCCCTACAGGGATTGTTTGGTCTCTATGATAGTGAAGTATGGTGTCCTGAATAATATGAGCTTGTAGTGATGTTCCTAGGCTTTATGTATAAAACTGATTTTCTGGATAAAACAAGTGAGTAACAGGTTTTCTGCTGAATTTGAAAGATTTTAGAATGACTGTTTTGAGAGACCTTTCCCATCCTCCTCACCAAATGCTGTGGGAAATTAAGTTTTCAGGAGTTTGTGATGTTGTGTGGAGCAATGCTTGAATTGTTAATTAAAGAACTGTGGTACTTTAACATTTATAAAAATAAAATGTAATCCGCTTTTGGATAGCATTTAAAGGCAGTTGCTGATAAGAGACCAGAACTCAAGGAAGGTTGGCTGTGTAAGCAAAGGTGACAGGTGTCAAATGACCATTTTCTCACTTAATATGTACATTGGAAGCTTAAGCCACCCAGAACTCCACCTCTTTAGTAGGTCTGACATTCATCAGCAGGGAAGTGGGAGAGGGGAAGGCTGTATTCTCAGTGGATGTGTGAAGCTTTTCTGTACCTGATTCCATTCCTCCCCCAAGTGCCAGGTAATTCAGACTCGGACTTCTCAGATGTTTCTCTCCATCCAGAAAGGC